CTACTGTGATCAGTGGATCGATGAGAGGTATTAGGCAACTTGTTGACATTTTGTATGGAGGTAGAAGTGTCCGCCGATTGAACTCGAGAATTGCTGCCGTTATGAGTGGAGGCAGTAGTGTCATCAGATTGGAGGTGCGAGGACGCGGAGCCCATGTTAGTAAGTCTAGAAGCCGCGGTCTCCTGGTGACCGGTTGATCGAGTGCTGTTGGAGTTGCTTGGATTTGAGGGTGCTGGAGTAGTAGCCGAGTGACGAGGTCGCTGATTTATACCCGCGACAGACGGGACGGTGTGGTAAATAATACTGTGTTTCTACGCAGAAAATATAAAAATTTATTATTATCTCTTTATATATTATATATATGGTAAAAATAACATCAGAAATGGATTTCTCATGTAAAATTACCCCTAGTCACCCACTACAACTAACCCCATATCTCTCATAGTTTAGACGTTACACAGATTTCAACCTGTCACGGGATATCTTTTGGATTCTTTACTCTCAGTATGGCTTGTTTTGAATACTGTATGCATATTGAATATTGAATTCCTTTGTGTTGTATTGAATTCCTTTATTGGCACATAGTGCATATTGAATTCCTTTGTAGGTGCACATGCATTCCTTTGTAGTAGGACCTTGTAGGCTAGCCAAATTCCCTCAAGGCAGTGCTCTCACCAGCCAAATTCCCTCACCTGCATGTACTAGACTAGCTAAAATCCCTCATTGGATTTTCAGGCCAGCTAAAATGCCTCAAAAGCCTGTACCCTGGGGCTAAAATCCCTCACATTTGTCTATATAAGGAGGCCTCTGCCTGCCAGTTGTACCTTCCATCATCCCACCAGTGGACCAGATCATCTCAACCACCCTTACAGATTATATACAAGTGACAGCCATAACAATACATTATATTGAAATACAATCATAACACTTTCATCATCATAACAAGTGCCAAGTGCCCATAACCTGCCTCACATACCATTACTGGTTGAAGCATAGTGCTCCCAGAGCTCCAAGCCTTGGTTTTAAAGCTTTGAACAACATCTTCATCAATATAATCATCACTCATTTATAACTTCAGACCTTATACACATCACTCGGAAGCTTCATCTTGAACTATCCTCTATCACGATAAATATAACTGCCAAGCTAAGCTTGGTGGTCTTGTTGTTCTGATAGCATAGAAGGGCAGAGCTTGCAACTCCATCATCCCCTTCTCCATTCAGCAAAAGGGTTTCATCACCACTTTTGAGTCTTACAACAGTCTCCTGGTGACCGGTTGATCGAGTGTTGTTGGAGTTGCTTGGATTGGAAGGTGCTGGAGTGGTAGCCGACTGACGAGGTCGCTGATTTATACCCGCGAGGAACGGGACGGTCTCCTGGTGACCGGTTGATCGAGTGCTGTTGGAGTTGCTTGGATTTGAGGGTGCTGGAGTAGTAGCCGAGTGACGAGGTCGCTGATTTATACCCGCAACAGACGGGACGGTCTCCTGGTGACCGGTTGATCGAGTGTTGTTGGAGTTGCTTGGATTGGAAGGTGCTGGAGTGGTAGCTGACTGACCAGGTTGGTTTATATTTGCGAGGAAGGGAACAGCTTCATCCTGATGACCACTTGGTCTAGAATCGGATAAGTGCCTTGGATTTAAAGGTATCGGAGTAGTGGCCAACTGACGATCGTGATTTATACCCGCGAGGAAGGGGACGGTCTCATTGAGGTGGTTGGTTGTCTCATCGAGGTCGTTGGTTGCCTGGTGGTATTGGGGTTGGTGGCCTGGATGGGTACGATTGAGGGTGTGTTCGATATCATAATATGCGCCATTTTCGTAACCGTAGCTATGTCCACTGCCGGGTATGTCGCGATGGTAGGTTTGGGGTGGAATAGACTGATAGTTGTGATGGGAGAGGTGATGTGTGGAGGAGTTGAGGTCATGATATCGAGGATCGTCGGGCAGCTGATATCCTGATGATTGGTAGGAGCTGTCAAGGGCATCGTATCCAGGGTCAGGGAGGTCCACGAAATTTTCAACGTGATGGCCAATTTGATCGATATGGTGGTACTGAATTGTTTGCATATCGTTGGAGAGCGCCGGTTTGTGGGGGGGATTTTGAAAAGTAGATGCCGAGATGGTTGATGGAAGCTCTTGCCTGAAATGGTGTACTTAGTCGATTTCGCCTGGATGACTGAGCGAGGTTTGGAGTGTGAGCGGTGTGGACTTGTCGTGAGACTTCATCGGTTCGAAGTATATGTAAAAATCCCCAGGGATCCAAGCAGGATCCATACTCGCGGGATTCTGCAAATTTAGCTGGGTTCCTCACTTCACGAGTGACCTAGCGTGCACACGCCACCTCAGTCTAACACTGGGTGTCTATAGTGTTCACAGGTCCTCTGGCAACTGGAACAATACATGGTCTTGTTATAAGTCCAAATATTATAAAAATCAGTGTGGCCTGATTGACCAGGTTTCTTAACAAGTTTCGCCTGTCGCTTATCCGACATCGAGATGGTTTTGCTTGAACAATTTATGATTGGGGCCCAACTCCTGCTTGTAGCCGTCCAATTTTTTCCAAGGTTCATAACCCCTAACTGCGCATCGATATACACTTCTTGCTCATGACACTTACATATCCTTGACATCGGTCCTTCCAAAATCACTGATTCAACGATCGCTAACTTGTCAGGAACTCAAAGGTTAATTTATCACGTTGAGCATATTCAGTCTGTCCTCCATCAACTGTCAGTTCTCGATGGCCATGATATGTACTTTGTTTTGCAAGAAGTATTTTGAGAACGCCTTGTATCGTTACAAGTCATCTGGTTGGTATAAAGAAAACCCATCATCACTCTTTGCTCGTTGCAGATTGAAACTTTTCTTGCACTATTGGTTTCGCGCTCTAGCCCTGTCAGTCAGATTTGGCTCAACCAGTTGTCTCAGTGAGTCTTTGATGCTACGGCTACAGTCTGATTTTTCGCCCCAGTCTTAAAAGATTGTGACATTGTAATTTTTCTTGTGGAATTCTCACAATAACAAAATTGCGTACCAATCCTTGTTCTGATTCTCAGAACAAAGAAGAATCTTGCGGATAACTGTGCTGGACAATACTCAGCTCATAAACCTTCATCTCACCCCTGTGAGCCTTGGATAGAGCTCATTCATTCAACTGAGGTTTGTACCAACTCATCCCCATGCTTCTTGAGTTAGGTTAAATTTCAAACTGAGATCACCATGATTTGTTTTCTCCCGTAATCTCACATAGTCAGATAAGAAAAATGAAGATCACCAGAATTTCAATCCGGACTGCAATTTTCAGCTGCTTGATCAATATCACAGCTGCAGGTCTGGAACCAGTTGAAATTCATCAGAACCAATGGAGTCAATCAGCTGATATAGAGAGAAACTTTCAACAACAGAGGGAATCTTGGGGCAAAACTCAATTTTGTGATCTGAGAAAGAATGACAAGGATGGTGGTATGAATTTCCCCGATGTGGGTTTGACTGTTGCTAAGGGCCCCTCGCAAGATCATGCTTATGTGATCAATCATAACAATTATGTTGTAGAATACTTATTGAAACATAGGGACACAGGTTGGTACTTGAAGCAAACAGCTCAACCCAAGCAGCAACACATAGTGCCAATCTGGGACCCACCTATAATCGCTGCCTGGGCCAGATTTCAGCGCAGGCAATGATTGTGTCTCATAAGCCAGATTTCTTTCCATCTGTTTTTCAAGAAACCTCCACACAAATACATGTACAGAGAAGTGATCATGGAAGAGAAAATCATAAATCTTTCATCTAACCATCCATTCTTACTTCATAGTGTAGCAATTAGATGCATTTATCAAATAAAGTAAGGCTTATGCCACATGCCGGCCTCCAAGGCTTGTCCAGCTTTTGCTTCATTTGATTCACTAGGCCTCCATTGAACTGGAACATACATGATTCTTTTCTTTGTTACACCACTTATTACCTAAGGTGCTGATAGGAGTTGCCTTCCTGTTTGTGCCGCCTTATTTAGTACTGAATATCAAAATAGATACAAATTTTTCCCAAAAATGCATCCAATGATCCACTGATTTGAGGAAAAAACAATTAGAGCCAGTTTTTTTTAGATGATTAATCCAAAATTGGTGTGAAGGTTAATCTTTACATAAAATTTGATTACCTTCTATCCTATTATATTATGATGACCTTCCACTCCAATATTTTCTTTTCAAGGGGAATGGGATACAGAAATTAAGCATCCATTATATTTATGGACATGGCAGGCATCCCGATATGGTAGTTTTGGGAATGACCACACTTGACATTTTGGGCAATTGGGAATGGTCTTTGATGAGGGTCAGTTTTTCAATCTGAAACCTGACTGACTAGAGTAGGTTCCTCAACAAGTCTTGTCTGTTATTATACAACACCTGAATTTTTGAAAACCTGAATAACAGGACCATTTCAGTTTGATGCTGCATCATCCAGCAATTTTCAGTGCTTACTGCCATCAGAGCTGGTGCTGGAATATACTTTTGCTTGATTGATATAAAAAAAACTAATTCATAAGATTTCTGAACCAATTTTGTCTGGTGGCTTATCCAACATCAAGATGAGTGTGTTTGGAATAATTATATCAAAAACATAGTTCAGCTGACAGCTATCTCACCATTCGGAATTTAATTTACATG